AAATTGTTCTAATTCTAAAAATTATTGTTCTAAAATTTTTGCATAAACTTCGCTTAAACTCGAGTTTGTTATTTCCGTTTAATTACGCCGTCCTGTCTCGTTTAAATTCGTAAAAACTTGAAATTTGATCATCCGTATATAATTGACAAATGTGTGTGTATATATATATATATATTTTTTTTTTATTTGGTTGTGTTGAATTATATTTTCATATGTATATACTTTTACGTTTTAATGCATTTATATATTGATTGAAATTTTTTAGTATTATTTAATTAAATATTAATAAACAATCTTACTATTGCGATAGTCAACAGCCGCCCTAACTGGCTCAATATCCTGGATCCGCCACTGTCTCTATACCAGAACTGAATAGCTCAAATATTATCAAAGCATGTAACACCCCTGGTGTTATGGATATCAAAAATAAAGATGATTTTATTTTGGCATACGTATTGTTCACTCTTGTCTGCTGCTGGTTCACCAGTATAGGAGGATGGATGAAAACTCTCACGTATGGAACGAATAATAAAGTCAACCTATATCCAGGAGTCCCAACTTATTGGGTTCGTACTCTTTTTGAGATGAAAAATATAATATGTATTTACCCATCAGAATCGTTATATATATATATATATATAACAAGTTTTTCTCTGCAAGTCCCGAATGAGATAATGAAGAAGATAGGCTGCTGATAGTTAGCCATGTCATAAGAATTGCCACTACTTTCAAGCATCTTCAACCTGAGAAGAATGAAATCCATGAAATTACACCAGAAGATGTCATCAATATGACAGCTGTCCATAGAGACAAGGGATACAAAGAACAATTCGAGCATATCCAGAAAGTTATTGAAGAAAATTTGGGTATATGAGTCACAAGACCATTTGATTTATAGCAAAGCTGTGGCACCTACTAAATAAGAAGATTGACACTATTTGGATACATGTTGCGATCATATTTTTGGAGGAGACACTAGTGAAACATAGAAAACAAAAAATGAACTGTGCAAACAGTTTTGACTTTATCCAAATCATAAGTGTGGATGCTATAGTAATAAAGAAGATGGCTCACCAATCTCTCTTGATCGAAAGGAATTTCCAATTAAGTGGTTTGGGTCTCATATGGAAAAGTAAGGGACATACGGAAAAGTAGAGGACCCCTTTATCACTATTTTATCAAAGTCATTTTTTGATAAAGAAAAACTGTGAGTTTACCTCAATTATTTTCCATAATAAGACGAAAAACTTTAGGCCACAGTAAGATATCCACTATCTTAAACAGTAACACAACAATAATGAAGGACATCTGTAGAGCTTTTCAAGTCTATAAATTGAAGACTAATTCTTAGAAGAAGACATCGAATTCTGAAGCAAAAACATATCTCTCTATCTAGTTTTTCAGATTTTGTAACTATTTCAGTTCCTATCTTTCAAGTGAATCTTGTAATAAGGTAATCTCTATGGAATTCTAATCTCTTTAGAGAAAATACCAAGAGTGTAGCCGAAGTATGAATATATACTCTTATGTAAGAGATATTAGTGTGATGTGTTCATGAAATTAAAGTTGTTTGAAGATACTGTCTTTCTATCCTTATTATTTTCTCAAAAAAATTTTATCTTACTTATACTCCGACGATGAAAATCTTGAGGATTAGTACAAGTATTTTGTTGCCGTTTAGCCGTGTGTCGGAGTTTGAGGTGTTGTTAGAGAAAGCCATGAGAACCCTATTACAATTCAAGGTGATGTTTTATCAAGGAATTTTAAGGAAAACTGTGATTCTGTGTGATCCATTATGAGATATGCAAAAGAGTTGGAGATAAAATTAGTAAGAGCGTGGAAGTCGTGTTGGACCATACCCACTTTCTTAAACTCAAACAAAACCGATCACTTATATTCGAGTATACAAACATATGGAAGTAAACTCGAGGGAAATTTCATTGATATTAATCTGCCTTTGCCTTCTGCTTTGCATTAATATTTGCACTCCTACTATTTATGAAGTTTTATTTACTTTTATTCGAAGATTATAAATTGATTGCGAAAGACAAATAGAAGAAATTAAATCATTTTATACTGTGCTTGATTATTTTCTTAAAAATAATAAAAATATACATGTGCCTTTATATTGGAGAGAAAATATAGTTAGAATTAATAAAGAAATTAATAAAATAGAAAATATAATTAGAACATTAAACGATTATTTTGATAAAAGATATACAGATAAATACGAGCATAATTGACTTTTCCATTTATTATGAGAAATAAATCAAAGTTATCCTATATTCGGAATAGAAAACCTTGATTTAACTAAAGAATAGAGGAATGACATTTAAATCTTTCAATTTCTGCCACATCACTTTGTAAACCCAGTTTTTTTAGCCACTATGTACAAGTAGCATGGTTGTCTAAAAAATGTGTGACCCCTTTGTTTAACCATTTCTGCTTTTGCCACAAGTATCCAATAAACAAGGAATAAAAACAAGTCATCACGTGGGGTCTATATAGCCATTTGATGTGTCTGTCCTCTATTTTCAGCCGTCTGATCATTTTCTACCTTCCTGGTTCTGCTACTGAAAACTAGTGTTCTCCAACCTAAAGGGCACTCCTTTCCATATTTCTTTCTTCTCTCTGTATATCTATTTTCAATAATGCTTAATTTTTTTATTTTCTTGTTTGTGGCTTTGGGGTTTGGACAGTGAAGTTGAAGAAGTAAGAAAAAGGGCACTTTGGGATGCTACAAAATGATGGGTTTTTCTGTGATTCTGTAGAAAATCATTATTTTCTCAGCTTTTTGATCTCTGAGTTACTGTTCTTGGTTTCGCCACCGACTTGATTATCTCTTGTTTTCAAGGTCTTTTTTGATCTGCATCTTCATCGCTCACCTAGAGCAAGGTGAGGTATGTCTTGATACTACTTTCCCTCTCTTTATTTTTGGATCAAGTGATTGAATTTCAAGAATGTATAGTGTTGGTATAGTGCGGTTTGTGATTTCTCTTGTTATCAATTAGGTTGAATGCAATTGTCTAGAAACATGTTTTATGCCGCCCGTATAAGAAAATTATGCACATGGAGTGTCTTCGATAAAAAGTAAAAGGTGAACTCAACCAACATTTTACAGGTTTGTTGAAAACAAAATTTATTAAATAAATGTGTTGGCTTTGAACATGTTTGTATAGTCTCCTTGTGGTTGTTGAATTCCGTTTGGTAGCATTTTTATTTTCCCTCTTTTGAAGCTATTTTGATGCTGAGAAGTAATAACTAAGAGCTCAAAGATCACTGTGGAAGCCAAACCTAATTCTAGAAGTATAAGGTTTGGTTTTTGTTACATTAATCCGTATAACTGTATTTAGGAACTCTCCATTTGGTCCGGTTTGGTCTGGTTCTGGGTTGGTACTGCTCGTTCCAGTAAAAAATGTCCACCCCTAGTTTTTAATGTGGGAAATTAAAAGAATGAAGAAAAGAAATCGGGAAAAAAAAAGCAAGAGGATGCGAATACCACAAATACAAGAATGGTAAAAGGCCTTTTTTTCCCTTCACTAAAGTTTCTTTAAGTAACTTTATCTTTTAATTTTTGTTTTCTGTCAATTAATGGAAGAGTCAACCATGCAAAATTTTGAGATTTGAGAGGTTTATGATTTTGTAGCCCTTGATGCCTGTCTTTTACAACGGTTCAAGCTTTGAAGAAGGCTGCCCGGGTCACTTTATCTTCATAAAGTCACTCTAATGGGTACTTTTGGACCACCAATTTCTCTTTCAGATTGTTCTTTGGATTCACCCTTGCCTACATATCTGTCTTATTGCATCTTCCATTAATACTACGTTGTACTATTAGGAAGTCAACTGCGTCTCTCATGAACAAAATTAATCGTTCTTCTATAGGGATTTTCTTTTTTATGTTATGGTCACAAGGCCTTGAATTTTGTAATTATTAATGTAGTGAGCTTTAGAAATGCAAGTGCATTAGACGAATCTAAGTCATTTGCGAATCGGGGTTTGAATTTGCTCAGGCCTTAGTATTCTTGTGATGTCTGCTACAGGAGGTCTTTGCAAAGTCGAGAGCTCCTAGAAAATTTCTTAGAATATCTGCATGACCACGACTATATGTTATTAACAGTATTATCCTCTTCACCCTATGTAACATACTACTCCATTGGGAGATATTTCCCTCTTGAGCTTCTTTGTCCATTGAGACCCTTGTTGTTTTCTTTGTGAACATTCCAAGCTGACATGGATATGTACTTTATATTTGGTGAAACAGAGTGAGATGTACTGATGATAATATACTGGCACGGGAAAAGTTTGACTTGTTAGCTTGGCGTTTGGGTTCCTTATATTTCACTTGGTACTTGACCTTTCTTTGTTGTTGGACTAAAAATTTGGTGGATGTGGAGCTCAATTATAATCTACAGCCTTACCCTCGACCACGAATTTTTGGAGTGGTATAGGGTATTTCGTACATGTATTAGATTACTCTAATGTTGGTACTATGTAAAGGATTTTCTGAGAGCAGGTTTTCAGGGTGTGAGAAGTACGAGGAAAACCTTTTACATTTTTGCTCCATTATTGTAAAAACCTGCCATGGCAAGTGGACATAGCTCTCAGAAGCCGTGAACCACCATAAATCTGTGCGCTTCTTTTACTTGTTTTCGATCTATTTATTATTGGTCTTCTAGGAAGGGATAAGCGCTTAATTCTAACCAAGATTTACTAAGAAATATTAATTTATCTTGTCCATTTCTTGTTTTGCCCATTTGCAAGCACCAAGCATACAAAGCTTTATTTTTTTGATGTCTTCCAATATTTACTGAAAATCATATGGATTTGTACTTGCTCATTTGCAGTAATAGGAAATTATTTTCATTGTTTATTAGCTCTTGTGATCTTGCATATCTGATATTCTAAAATTCGTTTAATTTTCGTTGTTTTTGTAGCAATTAAATCATTTCACCAAAGAAAGAATCTGATAGCAAATATTGGTGATTCAGACTAGCATCCATATGGAATACCATTTAGGACTTGGAAAAGAATCAAGTGATGGAAAAACATCTGGGACACCAAATGATCGTTCCTCACACCAAGCCGGACAAAATACAAAGTTAGGGTACAGGTTGAAGTTTGATAAGCAAGAACGGCATTTTTATGATTTCCATCCGGAAGTAATAAAGAATTTAGACAGCCCGTTATCAAAATATAGGGGGTTCCATCAAAAGCAACGGGTTGAAAGGAAGGTCCATCAGACTGAAGAACTTGTTAAGTACATGTCAAAATTACCGAGCTTTCTGGAAAGAGGAGAAAACCTCCCAGAAAGGGCTTTCAATGTTGGGGTCCTTGAATGGAGCATTCTTGAGAATTGGAATCATAATCGGAAGGAGATTACTGGAGAAAATGAGGAGCATGCACCTTCTAGTAGCAATACCTCACCAATTTCTTCAAAAAATGAAGGGAAGTTTCAAGACTGTGAAGCTGGCTCAATTCATCCATTCAAGGTGCAGCAGAGTATGGTGAGGGCACATAAGCCTTTTAGCCAAGACACCGAGAACAGACTAAAGGACCGACGAGGTAAAGAACTGGACCCTCAGAGAAATTCTGAGACGATGAAATTGCAACATTTGGAAAGTCATAACATGGCATCAACTTCGAAAGGAAAGATGAAGGTTCGACATGAAGCTATGACGGGACGAGAGGAATTAGAAGTTCCAAGTCGTAATGTTACTGATCGTTATTTCACTGAACAAAAGAAAACAGCAATCCTCTTTCCAAAAGATGGACCAGAAAATAGGTTTTCTGCAATATCAGATCCACCCTATTCATCAAACGGTGATGATCAAAGATCAATGGACATAAATCGACAGAGCCTTGTTGGAGAATCTAGTACGAGTGTCTTGCCTGCAGATGTCCCTCCCAAAGCCAATAAGATAGACGAGTGGTTGGACGACTCCCTCTCCGGAAAAAAGTTGTCAGAGACAAAACAGACAGTATTCTTTCCGGGCAATATCTCATTTAGTCCCTCCAGAGGCAAGAAGCTGGGAGAGGAAAATTTGGGCCTAATGTCTATAAATGTAACTAAAAAGAAATCTTCTGATCAGGAATTAAACCTGAAAACGGGCATTTCTGCTGCTGATAAGGTTAGGAATCCTTCACCAACTCGTCGATTTAGCTTTGAAATGGGCAAGTTGGGCTGCAGTCCAAAAGTGACTTCGGCAATTCCACATTCAGGCACCAAAGATTTTACAGTTAAGTCCGGTTCAGAGGTAACTTGTGATAAATCAAATGATACTAGCAGAGCAAAATCCAGTCCTTTGAGAAGGTTACTAGATCCATTTTTGAAACCAAAGTTGGGCAACTCCAATCATTTTGGTAACTCATTGGAGAGAGATTTGTCCACAACAAATAGGGCTGTCAAATCATCCACCAGACGTGGGGAATCTCCAGCTTCTCATTTCCTAAATGTAAAATTAGATTTAAAGGGTTGCAAAACAATAGATATTGATAACCCACATAATGAGAAGAATGGATCAACAGTTCAAGCTCTCCTACAAGTGGCTTTAAAGAATGGCCATCCTTTGTTCACATTTGCAGTTGACAATAATAGAGACATTTTAGCAGCGACAGTGAAAACATTAAGTTCGAGAAAAAATGTGAACAGATGGATGTATACGTTTTTCTCTTACCTGGACATGAAGGAAAAGAACGGACATTCGATTAATCAAAGAGGTAAAGACAGATATCATGGATATATTCCTAATGTTGTCGCACAAATGAGGGTTTCTGATGTTTTTTCCAGAGAGTTGTTCAGACAGAGTTCTATTATTAAATCTAGCACTAGGGAGTTTGTTTTGTATTCTGTGGGTACTAGAGATGTGGATCATCAAACATCGAACATGTTGCCTAGTAATGAACTTGCAGCTATTATTGTTAAATTTCCAGGACACGTCGATAGACAGATAAACCGGGATGTCCAGCTGTGTGGTAACTCTAAAGATGATGAAAGAAATCAGTATTTGGTTCCGAATGAAGACCTTTTAACTACAACAGTAGTACTTCCTGGTGGTGATCATGGACTGCCTGGTAAAGGAGAACCTTCACCACTGATTAAAAGATGGAAATCCGGGGGATCATGTGACTGTGGGGGTTGGGACATGGGCTGTAAAATACGAGTTCTTGCTAATCACCAGTCGAGTGAGAAATGCAGATCAACTGAAAGAAGATTCGAGCTTTTCTCTGAGGTATTTATGTTATCCAATCAAATTATTGTTCATTTGAGGGACTACAGTGTTTTTAACCCGTATTCCTAACTTTTGTCTATGCTTTTCATAGGACGAAATAACAGAGAATAAGCCAGTCCTCAGCTTGTCACGGTTCAAGGATGGGATATTCTCAGTCGAGTTTAATTCATCACTCAAACTTCTACAAGCGTTCTCCATTGGAATAGCCGTTTTTAACAGTATGAAACCGGCCATCTACTCAGAACCGAACAACTTGGTTGGATGCAAGACTTCTGAAGAAACTATATCATCAGAAAACAATGTGGCAAAAATTTCCAAGAAAGAAGTTTCTGCAAAATATGCCTCATTTCCACCTCCTTCCCCAGTTGGAAGAGTATAGATTTCACGAACTTTTGTATCTTGTTGGCTAAGCATCAAGTTTAAACGGCAATAATGAGTGATATATATAAATATATATGTAATTGAAAGGTAGCAAATCAATGGCATGTTTGAATAAGCTAAATGATAAAAAAGTTACTTATTTCAAGTGTAGAGGTTTTTTTTTTTGGTAAATAATCAAATTACTTTTTTCAACTGACCAATAAAAGACATTATTTATTATAAAATTTATAAGTAGTTTGTTTTAAGCTTAGCCAAGCGAGTGTGGCTAAGCTTAAAAAGTTCACTTTTAAGTGAATTTACTAATAAATTAAAACTTAAAAAGTTAAGTTTTAAGCAAATTTATTAAGAAATAAAAATGAGTTTTTTTTTTTTTTNTTTCATTGTACTTAAGGTCCCCTAATCTTTGCTCTTTATAACATTCATGTCCAACGGTAGTCTATCCTCTTTGTAACTTGAGAATGTAAAAGTTGTCTTCGTCCGTACTTTTTTTTTTTTTTTACTAAGAGAGTGTCATCGAGTTCTAGGCCTGGTAATAACGAATGAATATGATGGAATTAATATCTTTTATATCCTTTCTTTTAGTTGTGAAAGAACCTAGAGTGCGAGTGGTAATCACTAGCAAGTGGTGTGCTATTAAGTGATCAGGCCAATCACTAACAATACTATTTTTGTTTTTGTTTGATTAGCTAATTTTGCTTAGTTGCATTTTTGGTAAATAATAATGCTATATAGCTCTGGTCTAGGTGGTAGTAAGGCAATGTGATAGCGATTCACTATCACTTAAACTAGTGGTAGATATTGTTACTCTTTAATAACTCACAAATATTCATTTATTTTTGTGTAGGACCACTCATTTCTTAAAACTAGCGTTTTCAAACAGAAGAATCGTCCGAAATGGAGGAGAAACATTATTCTTCGTCACATTTGTTTTTCAAGGTTGAGCTTCATTGAAATAAAGAAGACTAGAGAAAAGAAAGAAAATAAATAAAGAAGATTAGAGAAAAGAAAGAAAATGTATGAAGAGAAACTGTATTTCTGTTTGTGTTCTACAATGTACAAGAACAGCCTTTATATAGTAGAGAGAGGCTAACTAAGATATACAGAATAAGTCAAGGATCAATTGATGATATCTTGAAATCTTGGAATATATTCTAACATCCCCCTCAAACTCAAGGTGGTGAAGTGGACACCAGATTGAGTTTGAAAACAAGAGATCTGAACATGCCATGAAGAGCCTGCGTGAATAATCAGCCGAAGGAACTGAGCATAGACGGAGAGTGCCCTCCCACAAATGATGACGCACAAAATGACAATCAATCTCGATATGTTTGGTGGGCTTATGGAAGGCATCATTATGAGCAATCTGAATGGCACTATGATTATCACAATAGATAGGGGTACTAGATTATAGAGAAATATCCATATCCTACAGAAACCAACAGATATAGAGAAGCTCGAAAGTGGTGTCAACGAGTGCTCGATACTTAGCCTCAGTGCTAGAACAAGCAACCATTGTTTGTTTCTTACTCTGCCAAGAAATAAGGGAATCAACCAACAAAAAAAAGAACCCAGTGGTAGACCGTCAATCAGTAAGATTACTTGCCCAATTAGCACCGTAATAAGGCCATAACATTAGTGAGAAGTGGGAAGAGAAGTGAAGCACATGAAACAAGGTACCCTTTACATAACGTAGAATCCGAAGAACTACTGCATAATGAACATAGCGAGAAGCAGTCATAAACTGGCTAGCAAGATGGACAATATAGGCAAGATCCGATCGTGTAATAGTAAGACAAATAAGGCTCCTAACAAGTTGTTGATAAAGGGCAATGTATTGAAAGGGCTTCCCATCAGTAGCACGAAGCTTGAGGTTAGACTTGAGGGGACTATCAGCAGTTTTGTATTCACTAAAACCAATGTGTAAAAGTAAATCAGAACCATACTTGGCATGAGTGAGAAAATAGCCATCAGAGGAATGAGACACCTCTAATCCCAGAAAGTAGCTGAGAGAACCAAGATCCTTCATTTCAAAATGTTGACTCAAAAACTGCTTGAGCTCATCAATACCAGAGAGATCATTACTAGTAATAATCACGTCATCAATATAAAAGAGGAGAATAGTAATACCAGCAATAGTATGGCGAGTAAAAAGAGCAAAGTCATGAGAGCTAGAAACAAACCCAAGCTAGGCAATGGTGGAGCTAATTTTTGCAAACCAAACCCGTGGAGCTTGCTTAAGCCCATATAATGCTCGTCGAAGATGACATACCTTACTAGGCGGATGTGGATATCCTGGAGGAGGTTGCATGTATACTTCATCAACTAAATCACCGTGCAGGAAGACATTCTTTACGTCCATCTAGAAGAGAGGCCACTGGCGAGCAGAAGCCAATCCGAAAGAGAGATGATAGATGTAGTACGAGCAACAAGAGCAAAGGTCTCCTATATTCAATTTCATACTCCTAAGCTTTGTGCCATAAGACTTACTTTATGCTGTACCTTAGAAGCATTAGAGTTAGTTTTGATCTTGTAGATCCATTTACGCCCAACTGCAGTCTTTCTGGGAAGAAGATCTACCAAATCCTATGTATGAGTTTTATGAAGAGCATCAAGCTCTTCAGATATATCTTGTTGCCAGAGTGGGTTAGAGGAAGCCTTACGATAGGTGCGAGGTTTATGTAAAGAAGCACGAACAACATAACAATGATAGTCATGACAGTGAGTGGAAAGTACTCTTAACTTAGTAGAGCAACGAGTGGTAAAAGCATTAGGCTCAGAAGGAGTCCGAAAGGGGACAACTCAGATGAAGTGGTAGAAGGACCTACAGGAAGACTAAACTCAGCAGTAGTGCCAATTGGTTTACTGCTGTTGGAACTCACAATTTCTTCACTAAGGTCATTAGCATCCGATAGAAAATTTACAAAAACATTTGTAACACGAGAGACAAGACTATGAAGTTGAGGAGGAAACGAGCCCATACTACTGAACAACTTATTCTCCCAAAAGGTAACATGACGTAAAACTCGAAGACGCTGGTTAATAGGATCAGAAGAATGATAACCTTTATGTTGTGTACCATATCCTAGAAAATAGTACAAACGAGAAGGAAGTTGTAACTTTGTGTATTCATGAGGTTGAAGGAGAACAAAACATGCACTCCCAAATACCTTAAGTGAGTGATAATCAGGAACTTTCCTATTGAGTAAATCATAGGGCAACTTATGGTGTGTGATAGGCGAAAGAATACTATTGATCGTGTAAACCGCAATGAGAGCAGCTTCACCCTAAAACGATTAGGGAATAAAGGCATAAAGAAGAAGGGTTCGAAAAGTATCTAAGATATAACTATGCTTACGCACCCATTCTTTTGAGAGGTGCCAGGACAAGAGCGATGGGGAATCATGCCATTTTGTTTGAAAATGGTAAGAAAAGAGGATTCTCTATACTCCATGGCATTATCAAATCGAAAATTTTTAATTGAACGAGAAAATTGAGTCTGAATCATTTTTTGAAAGTCAATATAAATTTGTAGAAGTTTAGACGGGTTTTGCATAAGATAAATCTATATGTAGTGAGAGTAGTCATTTATAAAAATAACAAAATAACGTGTTCCCCCATAGTAAGAGTAGGAGTAGGCCCTAAACATCAAAATGGACCAAGTCCAAAGGTGTTGAAGAAGTAGAATCACTATTATTAAAAGGTAAACAAAGCTATTTTCCAAGTTGACAAGATATACAATCCAAAGATTTTTGTTTTACCGAACCTAAATGACCACTAGAAATTAAAGAACATAGACGAGATACAGAGACATGACCAAGGCGAGAATGCTACATGCTGAGAATAGAAGGTAGAGTATGAGAAGGAAGTTGCAGCAGACATGTTAACAGGTGGATGAAGAGAAGTGAGCTCAAACAGGTAACCAACCTTGCGGGCAGTCCCAATGACCTGACCCATTTGCAGATCTTATTCCACAACACCACGATGAGTAAAAAGTAACTCTAGACCTAGATTGTAGAGTCGCCCAACAAGTAACAAGTTTAAAGACAAATTTGGAACAAGAAATGTATCAGGACAAACATCTGAGGAGTAGAGATAGAACCATTATGACTGACATTCATATGAGAACCATTGGCAGTGTAAATAGTGGGTAGATGAGGTAAATCAGCTGTAGAAGTGAAAAAAGATGAATATGAAGTCATGTGATTACAACAGGCGAAGTCAAGATACCAAGAGTGGTTACCCGAGAGGGTGGTGGATAGGGCAGGAGAGAGGTTAGCCTTAGGTAAAAGCTGATGTATAAGGGCTTCAACCTCAGTCGGAGAGAAAGATGCAGATGGAACAGACGGGGCTACAGATAAACTCTCTAAAGATTCTATGTGAGTAGCAACAATAGTCATCTGGAGGCATTTTTGGCATTCATTGACTTTATGACCACACTTCTTACAGAATTAGCATTGGACAATACGACCAATAGCCCTGACTTAGGAACAGAAGGAGTAGCCAAAAGACCGGGCTGGGTAGAAGGAGTAGCCAAAACGGGCTCCGAAATAGGCAGCTTCCTAGTAAAGAATCGAGTCTCCTCAGAGATTAGCTTGCTCAATGCAATCTTTAAAAAATGAAGAGGAGAACGATGTAGCAAAGGCATTTGAGTACCCTCAAAATCACCTCTAATAGCCATCAGAAATTGAATTAAGAGCATACCATCACGATAGGTCACAAACTTCTTCACATCACTAGGGTCAGTCAATCTTGGCTCACATAATGAAAGTTGATCCCAAAGGTAATAAGAAATTCATAATAGACCCACCTATTTCCTATCGCATATGATGAAGCTGTATAGTAAGTTGGTACTGCTGAGTGAGATTAACTGAGTTGTACCTTTGTGCCAATAGATCCCACACATCTTTAGCATTATCAAACCTTCCAAAAGTGTTGCCAATTGAGACCACACATGTATTGGAAAACCCTGAAATGATTCTATAATGCGCACTTTCCCAA